AAACGATGCTGCAGCTACTTTCGTTGGGACCCCTAATCGGAGAATCATCCAGCAGAAGCGGACACGGACGTTCCACGGTTTGTTGTCTGGGTTAGGTCCGGATTAGACGACGGAACGCTAACGAGATCCGGTGCTAATTGATGCCTGATCGATATCACGGTTTCCCCGGCTCAAGGAGCTCACCCGAGAGAACCACCACCAACCCGGCTTCTCTCTGCTGTGGGTTACTTCCTGTACTGTTGTCCGCCACAATGGCTTCGAATCCGCGACGGCGACGCGCCGCCTGATGCTGTTACTCAATTCCGTCGCGGTTGCGAAACCGGGCGGAGGGATTATTGTTTTACTATTCTTAGCTGGCGTCGAGTTCGAGGCGAGGTCGCGAGAGGGAACGGTACGGTTCAATGCACCGATGTCTGTATGTGTGCGCTTTGCTGGAAACAGTCTGGCAGATATTATGTGCTCCGGTCGAATGAAGATTGACTCGATGGACGGATCTATTTGCTCCTGGTACCCGCGACCCGTTCCCTGTCCCGTTTCATTATCGAGGTTTCCTCTGTCAAATTCAATCTTCGGATACGAAGTTGCGGACGCTCGTCGCTCTGTGCTTTAATTGATGCGGGTCTATTCGGACGATCAGGTTTGTCGGAGAAACGTTTTGCTTCGGTGTCGTTTAATAACGATGAGATCCGTAGATAGGTGTCGAGAGATACGAGTTTTGACAGAGGCGATCGGGCACGGTCGAAGGACTACGGGAGGCAGGCGTTCAGACAATTGGAAGGGTTAGCGACACAAAAAAGTGGTCCTCTTCATCTGTCAAAAACCAATTACCATTCGAGCGTATCGCTGTGTCTTGCGTCAGCTCTTCGTTCCTTGTCTTCCGTCTTCGTCGACGAGGGGGAAGGTTCGACCGAGTTCCACGAGCCTCCACGAATTAATCGACGTCCGCATACCCAATTACCGGCGTGATAAATTACATAACGTATCGCACGGAGATCCTTTTTGGGCAAGTCTCGCGTGGTATCCAGGGGGAGACCCAAAGATCGGAGCAGGAGAGGCACATTGTTTCTCCGACGCTCTCCGAACCCTTCCTTCACCTCTGTCCCGGTCTTATTTGCCTACCTGCTCCGCAGGGAGAGACGACGAGGTGATTATCAATTAGCGGTAATTAATGCGGGTTCCGAGCCACCGGATCGAGCGGCCAGATCGCGGGCCCGTGACATCACTTCCTGACATCTTTCCAGCCGCCTCTAGACACGATTTCCAGTCGACTTGCTCCAACTTCGGCGCCAATAGGCCATGCTAATTAGAGGATCCATAACCCTGATGCGTCTTCTATCGTGTTCGAACCGATATGTACGCGAGAGTCGGAATGAACCTGTTGTTAATACATTTGTACCAACGCCACGGAAACACGAATACTTTTAGCTCCCAATTGATTATGTAAACATAGCATTCCACGTTCCACCAAGCGTATACCGATTTATTCTCGCAGTCTTTCCAATCTATGCAGCGAATCTGTATCGGCTACTGCTATACAAGGATTACAGTTTTTATTACTCACACAATTTCTTATTATCCAAGAGACTCGACGTACTTATTTCCACGGTTCCGTGACAAAAATCACTGTGCAGGTAGAGATGCGAGTAAAACTCGAGAAAATCCATCCAATGGAAATAGCACGGTTCGTGTTCCGCCGAGGTCCCTCTTATTTCGCGCTCGTTATCTTCACCGGGAAGGCAGGTGAGGCTCTTGTTCGGCGCGAAACACCACGCGCGCCAGGTGGGTACATAAAGATGAAATCTCACTTTCGCCGATCTATGTTACGGCGCTACGGAGGGTACGCTCGAAGCGCGAACTTTATAAAGGTGAATATTTCCCGTGTATGTATATGTATTACGAGGGGGGTTTCTCGCCCCGGCTTGAACTTACGAACACGACGGCCCGAACATATTTAAGGCGTGCCCCGAGGAAGTATACATTGCCTGGCGTAACTATAAAACCAGCCTAAAATTATCAATTCCTATGTATTGTGGTTAGAATAAAAACAGTCCAAGTATATACCATGTCTGAAATCGTGTTGGGAAATAAGTTTGCTCTAAAAGAAAAAGTGGTTTGTATGTATTTCAACCACAATGCATACAGATTGAAAATTTTAGGGTGGTTCTATAGTTATTCCACGCAGTGTATGTCTGGTTGAACGTGTTTCCAATGAAACGCCGAAGCCAATATCGTCTCGGCCACGGAGAACGAAGATTAGCGTTTCAATGGCAATGCGCGTTCGGCCGACAATGGAGGAAGAAAACGTCATCCGAAACGGCGAGCAACAACGAGAAGCCGCCTTTCTTATTCATGTCTCGTCGTGGAAAAAGCGCGAAATAGAACAGCACGTCCTGAGAAATTTAATAAAAGGCCGCGTTTCCACGGAAATAGGTTGTTCAGGAGGAAGGAAGGAGGAGGGAAAGGATCGCGGCGCGAATACCCGCGAAAAAGTCTTCTCTCCCTGTTGGCGTTTCCACCGAGTCCGTGGGAATCGGTACGGGACCGCATCATAAATTTGCTCCCAGTTCGGTTATCCGGACCGCTGCATCCTTCCTTAAAACATCGGCCCTTCTATTCTTACACGCTTCGATCGGTTTCGCGGTTGGCTCTTCTGCAGATTCTGTGATTCTTTCCATCGCACATCTCCAGACTACATCCAAGGTATCCATAACCACAGAGACGTAAGCGACCAAAGTACAGTAAATCTTCGATGAGTACTCAAAGACTTCTCGGCGCTGGACATTAAATATTTCATAAACTAATGGCCGTATGCGCCTGAAACGAGTCTCTTTCGTTTCAGAATTCGAAGCTCTATCACTGTGCTGAACCTCGTTAAAAAGTCATGTACATGGGGACCTTTCCTTGACAGTGCCGATGGAGTCTTCGAACACTCGTCGAGGATTTACCGTGTACACACATTGTCCCGCGAAGGTAGAATTCCCTTGGATAATAACGTCGAACGTAGACAATCACCATCGATAATAAAACTCTGTGGCAAGCAACAGTGTTGCAATACATTACTCACAACCGTATATTACACGTTACAACCGCGCAAAAGCGATTATACCGAAGCGAGGAGCAATGGAAGAAAGAAAAAAAGATGTACATAGTTGGTACTCTGTTCGCCGCGTGTTATTCGGTCCAGCACTGTAAATAACCCAAGCGGAAAACCATAGACCGAGCGGGGATCGTTGATTTAAGCGGCGACTATAACCCATTGAATGGGACGCGGAGATAATACAGGTGCTAACGACTATTTACGAGGCCCTCGATCGGCCGCGAGATGTCCGTCGATAGGTATGCGACCGGGGAGAATCGCCATAAAACCCCCAGCTATCTCCCGATTATGGTCGCGCGCGCGCACGTAGCACCCCCCTACCCCCATAACCCGTAGGCACGTCCATTCTTTTTTACGCCTTTCATCTTTCTCCAGGCAAGCAAGAGCTCTTTGCCCTCAGCTACATACAGGGTGTAACAAAAATGTTGGAGAACCCGGAAATGGGAGACTCGTGAGATGATTTGAAACAAGTTTTTCCTTAGCAAAAATGTTATCCGAAGCTTTGTTAACGAGATATTAACTAATAACCCCGACCAATCAGAGCACGGATCTGCCAGCCAACTTCCTGCGGTAACGTTGGCTACCAATCGCAGCGCGTAATTGGTCGGAGTTTTTCCTTAACCCCTTCGCACCGATGGACGAGATATCTCGCCACGTGATTTCGTTCATGATATGCTTTCACGAGATCGTCCAAAGCATATCATGAAATCACGTGGCGAGATATCTCGTCCACCGGTGCGAAGGGGTATAATATCTCTTTAATAAAGCCTCAGATAACATTTTTACTAAGGAAAAACTTGTTTCAAATCGTCACACGAGTCTCCTATTTCCGGGGCATCCAATATTTTTGTTACACCCTGTATAAGTATACACACGCGTTCCCAACGATTTTGTTACAAGGATCACGTCCCAGTCACGGCGGGCTAGACTCTCGACCATGGAGAGTTACGTTCTCTGGCTGGAATCGATCGCGTTCTTCGTTAATTGTTTCGCACGGTGCACACACGTCGTCGTCGTCGGATCGAAACGCGCGCCCGGTCTTTGGCCAGGTTACTGGCAATAATTAGCGGTCGCGCCGTGCACACACTGCCAGGGCAACCTGTGCCATTAAGCTGTTACGTAATCCGTTTCGGTCGCGCAGGAATTTCACCCCAGAGGCGATCTTGCGGGATCGTACGATCGTTCTGTGTGGGTGTGCAGGACGGTGCGCGACGCGTTTTCATTGCGTCTCGAAATTCTAGGTTCCATGGCGGGGTCTTGATTCCTGAAAACCGGTGGAAATCCTTTTCGATCATCGACACTGCGATTCTCATTTCTTGAACTGAAGTTAAATTGTGTTCGACGTAGGGATGTTCCGATTCCTATTCGATTCTTCTGGATATCGATTCCCTTGGGCAACACGTCACTAGGGTGTATAATACATACACTAACGGTCCGAAAATATGGGACCAGAGTTCATGATTGATGGAACAGTCATTATTCTGTTACGATAAAATAATATTCTCTCTTTTTAATTATCAAACCTGGTCCCATACTTTTGGCTGTTAGTGTTTTTTTTTGATACAGTGATGTATCATCCGAAGGAGTTGGCCTTCTGAAGAATCGAGTGAGAATCGAACATCCTTATTCGAAACAGTAGTTGAAATTGTAGACGCTCGGAGAACGTAGTTTTCGGTTTGAAAAATTACCACTTACGTTTGTTCGATATAAAGACAGCCTGTTTTCGACACACGCAATTTCATCTGTCGAAGGTGGCTATTTCGAACTCGCCCCCTCCCCCTCCCGAATCCCGTCGGAGATTACGGTCCGCGGGAAAAAGACTTATCGTGATTTCCCTCCAATCAACGTCAGACGCAAACGGTTCGTTAACGTGCGGCGACACGCCTCGCTTGTTACAGCAGCAGCAGTCATGATATGACACCCGATTGAAAGGAAGAAGAGAGAGCCTGCAACCGACGACCACCAAACCGGCGCACGATGAGGAAGTTGCTACAATTTTTGGCGGTGCTATTGTTGGGTGTCAATGCCAGGCGAACGGACACGGACGCCCCTGCGGAGGACGTTTACGGTGGTGGTCAGCGTCGCGGTTCCCTTCACAAGCCGAATTACAATGGGAACAACAACAATTACAACCCCCAGTCGAGCTCCCCCTATCTGCCGTATCAACAGACCAGAGAAAGAAAGCCGAATATAGTTCTAATACTGACCGACGATCAGGACGTCGAATTGGGTTAGTTCTCTATTTTATTCTCATTTTCGTACCGGTATCCGCCTACGAAACTTCCTACGTAAAGATAGAAGGAAGGGGGGACCACGTCCACGCGAGAAAGTAAATAAAAACAAGAAGGGAAAAAATTCAATTCCGCGATAAACGACCTACGTAGTGGGCCCCCTTTCTCCGAAGAAGTAATCTCCTCTCGAGACCCCACCTTCTATCTATCTTCCAATCCGATCCGAGTCCTTTTCGGGCATACGTAGATCCAACCACCGAACGAACCTTTTGATCGTCCCCTGTTGCGGTTGGTCCGATCCCTCAGGTTCGCTGAACTTCATGCCGCGGACCCTAAGGCGAATAAGGGACGAGGGAGCGGAGCTGAGACACGCATACGTGACCACTCCCATGTGTTGCCCGAGCAGGAGTTCCTTGCTGACCGGCCGTTACGTTCACAATCACGAGGTCTTCACGAACAACGACAACTGCAGCAGCCCCCAGTGGCAACGAGATCACGAGCCACACTCGTTCGCCGCTTACCTGAGCAACGCTGGATATCGTACCGGTGAGTAACTTCTCGCCAACGAGATATCCTCCTCTTCACCCTTACCCACACAATGATGACAGACTCGTCGTCGTCCCCCCAGTGTCCCTTTTCCCGACGTGTCCCAGACAACGACAGGGCTTGAAAAAGCGAATCACGCTACCCGTCTCGTCGTGGTAGCTTGTAGAAATGTTTCTTCACGAACGGGAATCGTTGCGACATTGTGTCCTCGAGAATATACCTCTATCGAAGAGACACTCCCTCTCCCCAAGATAATTCAGACAATTTGTATAGCTGTCCACAGAACGTTTAACCGCGTAGAAGATATTCTTCAAGGAAATTATTTATTGCGACGTGTTCTTCGTTAGAGGGTCGCCTCATTGAGACTTAATGATCTCCGTAGTTGAAGGAATTTGCCATTTATTGCGGGGGCAAGACGGTTTATCCGAGCCGTTTGGATACGCCACTGCGCTGCTGACCCCTGACACTACGCGATACCAGAAAGATAGGGAGAGAGAGAGAGAAAGAGAGAGAGGCAGAAAATCCGGCCACCTTCAATTGAACCGAGGTTTCTATTTATTTCTCCGCGAGCGCAACGGACTCTCCGACCGGGTAATTGGAGTCAAGTACGTTCGACACGATAAATCCTCGTTGCATAAGCAATTACCGTGGAAACGGCTGATTCGCTGCGGCCCCGGGGATTTTTCAATTGAAACCAGTCGAAAACCTTCTCTCGCTTCTCGGATCATAACCGTGTCGGTTATGCTTGTGCGATTTATTCGAGAACCGTGAGGAATTCTCGTGTTCCTGTCGTGTAAACAACCGCGCGTAAAAGGTTGCAACAACGTGATTGAGGCCCGGGACAATTATAAAATGGTGGAGCGTGTCGTACCCGAAAACACGGTGGCGGCTACTACCTGGCCCAGCCGCAATTTTATCTTCGTGCCACACTGATTCTCGTTCCATCGGCCGCGGTAATTACGTACCGAACCGAGACACTCGAAAATTCAGACTCACAAGAAACGAACACGGCAATGGATCCCTGTGTAGAATCCTTCGGGTTTTCGATCTCATCGGGCGAGTTCATCTCGCGATTCGTCTTAACTGGTCTAACTGAATTTTTAAAAAAATAAGAGACGGATGAAGGTTAAGTTCTAACTCCGAAACTTTGAAAGTGTTTGCTTTTTCTTAATGGTTGTATCTTTTAATACTAATAACGATTAAAGTTTATGTCGCTAATAAGATAAAATTTTGTTAAATATTGTAATAAATTCAGTAGATGATATTGTAATGTATTTGATTATTTCACTACTTCCCTACTTCTACAATATTGAATTTCGTAAATTTTAACCTCAGTCTTCTAAGTGTAGAAACTAGTAGAAATTGAACGCTTAAGAACTGGAGCGACGAATTGTCCTCTCCCATTTTTTCCTCCGTCCTACAATCGTGCAGAGCCAAAAAAAAAATGGTGTTGCAGCATATTCGTGCACAAGCGGAGCGTAGCCGCGAGCGATCGATCATTCGGGATACGTCGGCGTGGATCGAACCGCGAACGAATCGTGGCGAGATCGTTCGACTGTTTGCATTGTTCGCTGGTCGTACCCCGACGAGATGCCACTCGTCTGGATGCATCGACGATGAAGGATCGACGCGATACAATTACGCATAGCAGTCGATGACTCGTGCAGACGGGGGGCAGACTGGATCCACTGGAACCAGGCCCCAATGGGTTTTCGAGATGGACGTTATTGGATCGAATAGAGTTCCAGAGATAAAATTACGATAAACGATGATCATTCCTCGATTTTAGTACACCATTGTAATCCTAGAATAAAGGATCCTCGACCTCCTTACTTCCAGCGAGCACCCGTGAAATTGGGCTAGATGATTAAAGCTTCTTCCTTGCTCTTTGAACCTTTATTCCCGTGGAGAGACAGTAAAACTCGAATAGACCTACTTTGCGGAACACTTATCTCCGAAATCACCCCGGCCATATCTGCAAAGTACACCTGAAAATTACTCGACCGTTTACCTTCGCGAATCCATTATCAGAAATTACGGTCCAGGCGCCACTCGTTTCGTATATACATATATACTTAATGCTCGATTTAATAACCGATCTATCTAAGTCAAAGTAGGCGATAACGAGTCCGTTTATTTTACCGTAATCACCGGCGTTTTCACGTGTTTATACAGTTCATCGATCGCAGCAGCACGTCATTGCTAGCCTTAGCACTTTCGTCTGGCATTTGAACCCCATTCACCTTAACGACTTCGTTTATCTGACTCGGAAGAAGGTAACAACTTACCCGATGACGTTCAAACACCGTCTGTTCGCCTACTATAGAACAGTGCACAGCGTATCGGTCTAGGCCGCTTTCTCCAGCTTTTTCATCCCAGACGAAAAAATGCTTGTTGTCCTTACGTAAAGCCCCCAGCGTGCTATCGACGACAAGGCGTCTCTGAAAGGCCACACGGTGGTGGTACCCACCCGGCAACAGGATCTTGTAAATTAGAGACCGTTTCGCTCTCCGTATATCTCAGGCACGAGCCTATACATAGATCCCGAGCTATCTCTTGCCAGCGAAGATTATTCGTGAAAGCGACCGATGGTAAACCGTGTTCATCCCCGGTTGCACATTCGAATTCCCCGGGCGCGCAACATCGTCGTCGATCACCCGAACGAGTGATCGTCGAGCGCATAACAAAAGAGATCACGACTGCGAAGGCGGAGAGAACGCGACCGAGGAGACAAAAATCTTCTCACGATCGTGACAGTTCGACCCTTTCGACGGGCAAACGAGACAGGCAGTCGCTCCTGTTCGGAGAGAGAGGCAGCCCTTCGCGAGAGAGCTCGCATTCCCTTTAACCACGACCCAGGGACCCACGTCTCTCCTTGTCCGTCTGTGTCTCCCTGTTGTCCGTATTTTTCTACACCAGCTCCTCTACGTACGACCATATTCGACGTGGTGTGTAGGACGTTGCTCCCTGAAAGGGGCCCAAGCTTCGCAGCCTTTAAGCTTCGTACACACACATCTAGGCACACGGGGGGTTTGGCGAGTTTCCAAAAAATTTTACCATGCCGGAGGTACACCGCCGAATACTTTCGTGTACCGATCAGACGTTTTCGTCAGGTGTTCGAGGGTAGCGATGTCGAGAGGCCAATTAGACTCGAAACGGACGAGTGTTTTTCACGCTGGGTACAAGTGATTGGTACAGAGACCTCTATTGTTTCTATGTTACGGTGCTCGTGTATTGGTCGAGCTAATATAATCGGAACATAGCGATCAATGAGTTGTAGTTATCTGTTTTCACTTCCGCTATGATCCCGATACTCCTCCACAGGGCCCTCAGTACCTTCGATCAGCTCCCGCAAGAACGGCTTTAATGAATACCCAGCTCCTTCGAATGTACCGCGAAAAAGGGTGATAATTAATCGATTTACGAGACTGACGGTGATTCACCGTCGGGGCCCAGACAGCTATCCATCTCCGATGAAACGAGTTCAAATAACGCAGAGCCATTAAACAAACGCTCTGGCTGGTGGGCTTCTGGGCTGCCCTTTTTCTTCATGAACAATCCGAATCTGCTTATTTTCACCGTTCCCCAGGGTCAAGGAAATGTATTTCGTCGGTCGACCCACACGACTTTCTAGGATCGTTCGAATCGCCACGCGAATAATTATGGAACCGTGATCCCGCGGAGGGCTGGGCCTCGTTCGGCCGGCACGGAACTGGTGGCCAGAGAAAGAGAGAACTGGTTTCGTTATCGTGGTCGTCTGTAGTACACAGCGTGTCCCTGACCAGAATACCGGGGCTGGCAGGCCGGGCGACAAATTTTCTTCGCTATCTTCGCAAGAGGATCTTGTCACGCGCGCATACGTTAAGCCCTCACCCCCCCCCCCCCCCCCCCCCCCGCGCCACCGTTGGCCTCACCTTTAAGCCGGGCTCGCGACCCCACACCCGTTGTCGTCTGACGGGCGTGAAACTAGACCTGAATTCGCCGATGCTAATTAGGTCCGAGAAACTAGTTCCCCTAGGTGATCGCGGCGAGCAGTTACAACGGGAAAGGGTGCACGGCCGCGTGAATCTTGGCAACCGATACGAGAACGTGGTGTATACGATCCACACGTCGGACTAGAGCGCACCAGTTCGAAAGACAGTATTAGTGACGGCTGTACATTTGAATTGTATCGGTATTTGGTGTCGATACGTATTGATACCCGGAGTATCGGATATATATGTATATCGGGAATAAAATATAGAAATTATCGGTATCGATACTTGGAATTAAATTAGGAGTAATAGAATCGAAAAATGAAAATGAATCACTACTCCTACCCCACCTTGAATATGCCTTGACAATTTGGTCACATTATTAAACATTGCGTCTTATTCAAAAGAATCAAACATAAATCTCCTATCCTTTAGTAACTGACACACCCATGAGATACATTGATCATAAATACAATAGGATACAGTTCAAATTGAAAATCAACTATCTTGAAGATAGACGTACTGCTGCTGATATTACTTTTCTGTATAAAATTGTTAACAGGTTAATAGATTGAACGTACCCTTTCACGCAGTCAGACATTTCTTTTTTTTTTTTTTTTTTTTTTTAAATTTTGATATTTGTAGGTCAAGTATCGATACATGATCACATTAAATATCGATATTTGAATTGAAAACTATCGATATTCGAAATATCGCCTATGCGGATCCTTTTTCGATTCACGGGACAAACACACGACCGATCGGAGGGGTGTTTCTGTTTTCTGACCGGGTCGTGCCTCTTTGCTCGCGCGAAGGTTCGATTTCACGAAACCACCGTGGCCGTTCTCGTGAAACCCACGCGGCCTGACCTTCGACGATCGACGATCGATTCCCGGGCATCGCCGTGCCGTCTTTATTAAAGCCCCGGTTCCTGTTCGATGCATAATGTAGCGACAGGGAAGTAAATGCAAGGCGTAGTCAAGGCAACGGTATTGCCTCGATTGTTCGACTGTCCTCTCTCTCCTG